GCTGAAAGAAAGTCATGCATGTTTACAGTTAACTGCCTTTTCCGGGCAGAGTATTACAAATATAAAGTAAATTATTAATTAAGGATTAATATTGAAAACCAATTATTTAAAACTTATAAATAAATACGTAGTCACGTTTGAGCTCTGTTGCCTGGACAGGGTCAATTTCAGCTACCGGCCGGATGATACGTCGGCTAACAATGCATACTGGATAGTGTTATTTACGTACGCAAGACTTCGATAAACGCGATAGTACACTTCATGCAGATAGGGACCGATAATAATAAAGCAGAAAATTTGACACTTCTGTAAGAATTAAATCTTAGTTTATCTTACTGGTATTACGCGAGCGATCATATTCCTTGCCACTCTTTGAAACTCTACCCGAACAGGCAACTTGTCAGTTGCTGCGTGTGCGTAGTCTTTGATAAAATACTGCATTTAAGTGATTGGTTGGAACAAAAATTTCAGACAAGATGGCGGTTTTTTAACGACAGTAATGTCACCGAACCGATTTAGCTTCTCGAATAGCCAAAGTTAAAGAAGGTGTCCAATTGTATCCTATTTTTGCCTTTACTGTTTCATATTCGACGGGGGGAAAAGATAGACTGTCTGTGTAACTCTTGCAATTTAACCTGCCGGGAGATTTAGCTTCAGACTTATCCAATTATTCGACCTAAAAGTTCCACTGAAAAACAAGTAAAATTCTATTTACACCAGTTATGTAAAATATGTACGGATAAACTAAGCGTTATATTTACGCAATATTTTCAGGTTAACAATTAAAGTTTGTGATGATTTCAGTTTAGTATTCATACGAACACGTACTACTTATACTGCAAAAGATAACAAATTACTAAAATTCAAGTTAATCAGTATTGCAACTGGCGAAGTTGTTGTATGTGTACATTAGAATGGACGCATAATACGGAAGGTGTAAACGCGCTGATCCTTATAAATAGTGTATACGCCCATCCATTTACATTCGAATCAGATGTTTTGGCGAAACTCTTTTTGCTTTCATCCAGCCTAATTGATCATTTTTTCATTTCCTTCTCCCAGCGCCTAGTTTCTTCCGTATTTTATATTTGAGTAAATTTTTATTAACACATTCATGCTTTACGTAGTCTTTTCTATAGCCGGTTATCTGAGAGTCTGAACTTACAATCAATGCCTGCGGTCCAGCCAAATACAAACATCATTAGCGTTGGTGTTACGTTTCGAATCTTGTTAATGCTTGGTTTTTTTTCTTTAATGACTTAAATGACCAATGCTTATTGAATAATGTTCGATGATATTATCCGCTTGCCTGAATTCTCGTAACACAATGGTAAATAGTAGTAGGTTATTAACAAATGTCACGTGTGATGTGCAACTTGCATGTATTATCATGAGCAGAAAACGTAATTGGCGTACTTTGCGCATGCTTAGAGGCGTGATCTCTGCAATGACTGCAAGTGTATTATTCTACTCCTTGGTCACCAGGAATTTGATGTATTATTGCTCTTTGTTTGTTGCCCATGTGGCCAGGTCATTGATAAGTTGAAATTACACAAAATGGGCATAACGACAACAAAGGAAATTTTTGCTATTTAACTGGCTTCACGTGGAACTGATTATTCTTTTTTGCAACGATGACATAATCAAGTACTAAATTTCTCTATTATTATATTTAATCCATTGAATTATTACAAAATATAATGCGTAACAATAGTTCGTAATTATGCGGATCGCAATACAGCGTTCAAGGTTTTGGGCAATCTCTGCCTTAATGTTAGCATTATATATATGATACATCCAAAAACGAGAAATTTTTACCTATTGAAATTAATTTACAACAGTCGAACCCGCAACTATCCAAATTCCACATATTCCCACAAGCATAGCAATAGCTTGCTTCATATCATCTATGAACCCTTCCTTCCTAGACTTTTACTATCTCAATAAAAAATAATAAAAATAAAATTCTTTTTTTTTTCTCAACTAAATCCAGTTGCCAGCGCTCGTCCGATGTTCATGGTTGCAATACCGGCCCCAAACCCAAAGGCAGCCAGAACCACCAATGCCTTGACACCGTTTTCTTCTCGAGCCTTGTTATCTCTATCTCTCTCTCGTCGTTCCTGTCTTTCTTCCTTTAAACTCTCCGTTTCCTGAGAGTTGAGTTTGTTAACCAATTTCTGATACTTGCTTTCTAACCGCGATAATCGATCGGTACTTTCGAGAGTCTTCCAGCTCAACCTCTGTACGGTCTGCTCTACCATGCCTACCCTATTGGAAAGAGAATAAGGCTGATATCGACGTCTCGCGCGCGAGGTATGATAAGAGGTTGAATGTGGTGGAGTAAAGAGTCCTGTGTTTCCATTCTCTTCATCTTGAATGCCCACACTATCGTTATCATATTCACGAAAATCCGCTTCTGCGATTTCATAAATATCGTCACCTTCATTCTCTATTAGCGGACGGTCCTCCGGTTCACTCTCTCTTCTGTCATCCACATGACTCTGCAGATCTGCTTCAGTCGATACATGAAACGAGACATCATCGTCTTCGTCGTTGTCATCTATGTTGACATATGTAGAAGCACATCGTCTAATTCGAACCTTTAATAAAATTCATATGATAATAAACTGCAA